ATCCCAGGGCCCCCAACATACTGCCCCCTGTGCCCTTTATTGTGGAGGGCACATGGGTGATCATACATGCCCAGAGCACGGTTAGCTGGGCCCTATTACCAGAGTACAAGTCCATGAATGCTGGGCTGGCCTCTCCGGTGTGCACACAGCGGGTGGGGGTCTGCAACTCTTTGGTCTCTTCCTGCCCTGGCACAGTCGCCCAAGATGCAGCCTCTGCACAGTGGTTCACACGGCATCTGCAGTCAACCTGACCACCATAGGGTCCTATCCTCACCCTGCCCTGTCCCTCCTACCACTGTGGTTTTAGGGGCCAGACCCACCCCTCCTGTTTCTGGATAGTCCCTCATGATGGGAGTCTCGGGGGGTGGTGGACTTGAGCTGAGGTTACCATGGTGGTGGCCTGGGTCAGGTCCTCTGGACACCACAGTGTAGCGTGAATTCTAATTGGTTTTAATAATAAAAACCCTAAGTAAGAAAAAGAAATAAATGCTGAAAGATCAGAGAAGCAGAGCAGCCAGCCACTAGTTCTTAATCTCTGCCGAATCCTCAGACCAAATGGGTGAGTCTGTCCCTAGGAATCCTCAGATTGAATGGCCTGAGTTCCTGTCTGCTCCCCCTTACAGTCCTCTCGCTGCCCAGCTCCTGTGCTGGGATTAAAGGTGTGTGACCCCAAGTATTGGTATCAAAGGTGTGATCTCTGTTTCTCTTTTAGACTGAATCAATTTCGTGTAGCCCAGGGTAGACTTGAACTAACAGAGATCCATCTGCCTCCGCTTTCCGAGTGCTGGGATTAAAGGTGTGTGCTACCATTGCCTGGCCTCTGTGGCTAACTAGTGTGGCTAGCTATGCAGTCTGATCATCAGGCAAGCTTTATTTGTTACAGCACAAAGTATCACCACAGCACAGCTTTGGCTGAGATTCCTACCAAGGGCAGCCTAGCTTTCCAGCCTACAGAAATGGGTACCAACAGCTCACTGAGCCTCCCACCCCCTCCCCGAATCACGGCTCGAGCGGTAGGCAGAGAACTCGGAATCTGCACAGCTGACAGTAACCGATGTCTAGGTGAGAGAGCTCATCATCCAACAGAGGAGGAAACCGCACAGCTCACGTGACCAGGAATGTACCTGAGCTTGCTGCTCAGATGACATCAACTCCTCTTGTTCCTTCCCCGCACAGGAACTTAACCATGAGCCTACTGTGTTGGCATACAAAAGAGACAAAGTCCCTGCCTTCCCAGAGCTGGCATTTTAATGAGAGGAACCAATCAAAAAGGTGTGCAAAGTCTACACTTAATGCACTGAACGTGGTGGAGAGTAAAGATGGCCCAGTAGTGTCTTGTACACGGGCGTGCAAAGAGCATTGCTTTGGGGGTGGCTGCCAGACAAATGGGGGGCTGTATGAGAAGATATGACAAGAGGCTCACAGGCCCTGCAACAGGTGTGATGGTCCTGAACACTCCCATTGTACATGTGAGAAACAGGCCCAGAAATCCTGTTCAGGTCACCAGAAGTGCAAGTGACAGGCTAGAACCAGAATCCAGGGCTTCTAACACTCCTAACTCAGCTGGCTCTGCTGAGGTCTCTCTAGAAATGGGTCACCATCCCATATCAAGTTTGGATTAAGAGGTTATGAGAGGGAGGAGTCCTACCCAGGATACTCCAGGGGCAACCAAGTTCATGACTTCCCCCAGGTACTACGAGGAGGATGAGCCCCACTGGAAGACAGTGGCTGCCCCCCCACACGACACAGCTGTATGATCACAGCTGCAGGCAGGTGACCCAGCCCTTTGAGCCCCATTTCCCAAACAGGGGGAGCAACTCCAGTCCCAGCTCTGAATGCCACTGCTGGTCCCCAGGTGCATGCCAAGGTATATGACCCCCAAATGACAGCACACGCCTCAGTACACAGAGCAAAACAGGCTACCTAAGAACCCCCTCCCAGGGACTTCCACTGCCTGCAGTTTCTGTTGAGTCCTTCTAGAAGTTTCTATAGAGAAAGTTGCTTTAATTTGCTTGTCTGTCTATCCGAGGCCCCCAGCTTGTGAAAGGCATGCTGAGAGATGCAAGCCCAACCTCATACTCTCAGCCCCTGATCCCAGCTCTTGAGTTTGAGGGAAGACCCAAGGCCTGGTCTACAGTGAAGTGCTAAGTCTCACTAAGGGCCCTTTGCCCCCACGGACCAAGGACTCTACAGGCAGGACTGGCCTCAACACTATCTCCTCCTCAGTCCCTTGACCAGGGACCAAACCTACCGGATCCATCCCTCACCCTTCCAGGCTGTCCCTGGTTGAGCTTGATCTTACCAATTCTAGTGTTTGTTGAATGAATAAATAAGATGACCCAATGTGACACACCCTGCCCTGCCAGCATCTGTCCTCGGCAAATTTGGCACACTTGTTCACTGATGCTATTTTCAGACCCTTGCAGGGTAGGGCCAGTGAACCCAGCAACCTCCGACCCCCCACCACTGCAATTCCCCTCTGCTTGTCCACCTTGCTTCCCCCGACACACACAGCCAGGCTAGCTCTCTGTCTCCTCTTCCTTCCACGATGTTACATTAAGCAAAATTTCTTCATTGGCAAATAAATGCTCTCCCCATCAATAAGCACGATGACTAAATCAAACTGTTAGCTGTCATTCTTATCTCTTAAACAGACCCATGGATTTCCCAAGTAATCAGAAAGGGAATCAAACGCTGCCATTTGAGGTCAGAGATAACCCGGTCAATTTCTGCCAGGAGGAGGGAGTGGGGTGGGCATTTACGTACTGGCCCCCCAAAAAAACAAACACTCCTGTAAATAAAGCCGGCCTCCATCCTGTCTGCACAATGCGCTGCTTATTGAGTGAGTCAGGTGTTTGGCTGATTAAAAATTGATCCATTTCAAAATCTAATCAACAGAATAGGATTCTTTCATACGTTATCGGGAGAGCTGCTGACATCGAAAACCAAACCTGTTATTAACCCATGAACTCCAGTGACCCGCTCCCTGCCGCTCCCAGGAACCGTAAATTATTCAGTGGTCCAGGACCCAGGGGCCGCTGAGCCTGATGGATTTAGACCAGGGCATCGGTCCAGGACTTTGGGTCGATGGCATGGCCTCACCAATCCCCGGAGGCCGGGGTTCAAGACACACGGGGGCTGCGTGTCACGACTGTGAATACATTACTGGCATCCGCTGGGGCCTGGCCTGGACTGTGCCTTTGACTAAAAAGCCTCTCTGAACAGGGAAGGCAGGCTGGCCGGGGTCTCTGGGGACACAAGGCTTCGGGGAGGCCATGCCTGATTCCCAGGTTGAGCGAAGATTTCCCTTGAACTACAGAAATGAATAAAGATGGGGGGGGGATGTGGCATTTGGCAAAAGAGGCCCAGCAATACAACCTACTCCAGATGTTTGCCTCCGCATACAAAGCTGGCCAGAGGTGTTCAGAGCCTGCTGCTATGTTCAGTGGAGTCTGGGCCTTCTCACCAATTTCTATGCTCCCTGACCTTGAATTAGAGCTCTTCTGAGAGCCAAATCTTACCAAAGCAAGATCAAAGAAAGGTCTTCCATCACCTCCTCTCCCTCTTCCTCTTCTTCCTGCTCCCTCTCCACCTCCCCCCTACACAGTTTACATTCTGCTGAGCAAGGAGAGAGACTCTCAGGGCAACAAGGCCACTGGAATTTGATACTGCAACTTCAAGGCCTGCATCTAACAGCTGACCCAATGGGAAGGATAAATATGGGAGGGGAAAATGGATGCGTCTTCAGGGGGCTTGGGAGTGGGGGTTGGCCTGGAGATTGGGAGGAGAGCCCAGGGGAGCCCAGTTGCTCCCTGACCCAGGCCTCTGGGAGAAGCAAGGCAGGGTGAGATGTAACTGAACAGTCTGAATCTTGCCTCTGCCGTGTCCTGGCTGTGTGAGTCAGAGCAGGGGCACAAACTCTCTGAGTTTCAGCTTTCTCATAGGTTCAAGGGAGTAAGGAAACAGTCGGTTCTCCAGGCGACAGTTCAGGATGGAAGGACAGGAAAATGATGGGTGCTGAGGTCACCGCCACAGCACAGACCCCTAGAGTCCTTGACATGGTCCCCTGCACACCCAGCTGAATCCATCCCACCTCCCCCGCGGAGCTGATCTTTGTGACAATGACCCCTCACTTGTGCTTCAGGGCATGAGACCCCAGAGGTCCTTCACCATATGTGACTGAGTTTGAGAATCAAGTCCAGAGTTCAAAATCCAGCTCATCCACTTACCGGCTGTGTGACTGTGGAAAAGGGACCTGACCTGTCGGTGTTCTGGCACAGGATGCTAAGACCCCAGCCTCACATGGGTCACCACCATGCTGTCTGGCACACAGCAAGCCCTCAACCCCAGGCCTGACATCAGGTCTCTTTGAGGCAGGTTCCTCAGTACTGAGGCCTATAAGGTCATGGCACGCTCTTCCCCTGTCCAGAGCAATACTGAGCATCAGCAAGCACTTGGATAAACACACAGAAGCTAAAGCGTCACAGATACATACATACACACATACACTCAAAACACCAGCAACAAGAGCACCCCAAGGACTTCCATGTCACGAACCACGGAGATGCCTGAGCATCTGCGAGCCGCTAAGAGATGAAGCCTGCCACAGACCCTTCAGGACTTGAGAATCTGCTCTTACCTAGTTCTATCTGCAGCGGCCCGACCCAGACAGAATCTGCCTCAGGGCCACCGACCACATCATGAGCCCTTCCGGGGCTGTCACCACACCTGGTCCAGCGGATGGCAGCCCAGAGCAACGCAGATACCAGCTGGACCCCCAGAGCCAGCAGCAGACAGCTCCAGGGTCAAGGGCTGTGACAGGATGGCATTCCCTCTACATAAAACCCAGTCTGACCAGGCCCGAGACAGAGGGGTCCAGTGAGGATGGGAGGAATGAGCTAACGAGCCTGAGTCCCTGAGGCTCCAGGATGGCAGGGATAGGGTGGAGGAGACACCAGCGGGAGTTCAAGGACAAGACTCTCAGTCGGGCGCAACCTTACCTGGACAGAGGGTCTCAGGAGGCTTCAGGCTTGGAGTTGGGGGGTGGGGGTTCTGCGTCCTCGATGCCAATGGACAGTATTAGCCAGTCTCTAGAAATGAGCTGGCCCGACCCTGACAGCTGCTGGCCACCAGCTCTGTTTACTCTCTGCCTGTTGTCCTCGTGACAGGCCTTCCAAGAACTGCGATCAATGCGAGCCTGGCTGCCCGCAGCCTGGCTCCCTGCAGCCCAACTCACTGCTGCCGAGGATGTACCATGCTAGGATGTACCCAGTCTGGCTTCCTCGTCTGCTGGGATGACAAGCAGACAGAACCAGCCTGCACGTCCACAGCCTGGAGCCGAAAGCAGGGCACAGCGCACACGGGACCCTCTTGGTGCCAGTGAACCCACAAGTGACCCTGACTTACTCCCCTGAAAAATTCACCCTGCAGCCTGGTCTGCAAGCACCTGGGCCAGTGGTCTGAGAAACACGGGATGTGGAGCGATGTCACGTGCTACTCTTAACACAGCCCACGGGAGTCAAATGAGAATCACAGCTGGGCCAGGACATAGCGCTCCAGGACAAGATACTAGAGGTGAGGGGTTTGCCTGATCTAATACAAGTAAGTCAAATCCCATCCTATACTAAGGGGGCTGAGGCAGAAGGACTTAAAGGCCAGCCGGAGCTACACAGCAAGACACTGTCTCAAAAACAAAAATGAAACATAAAAAAATAAAAAGCAAACCTCCCAGGCTGTCCAGCTAAATAAATACACCACGGTGAGTCAGACAAAAGACTCATTCTTATTAGTGTTAAATGTATCTCAGATATTTTGTTGGACATACTTGCAGTAAGAATTATTTATCCTGTCAAGTGATGGTGGTGGTGGTGCACACCTTTAATTCCAGCACTCAGGGGGCAGAGGCAGGAATATCTCTGAGTTCATGGTTAGTCTGGTCTACAAACAACTTCCAGGACAGCCAGAACTACACAGAGAAACTCTGTCTCGAAAAAAGAATTATTTATGGGGGCTGGAGAGATGGCTCAGAGGTTAAGAGCATTGACTGCTCTTCCAGAGGTCCTGAGTTCAATTCCCAGCAACCATATGGTGGCTCAAAACCATCTGTAATTTGATCTGGTTCCCTCTTCTGGCATGCAGACAGAACACGGTATACATAATAAATTAATTAATTAAAAAAAAGAATTATTTATCCAATATTCCAATTTAACTGAGTATCCTCTAAATCCTGTTATTTATCACTAGTATTGGTAGTTATCTTACAGATTTGTTGATTTATTATAAAATCTGGCACCAAAACTGTATGCCATTCCCAGCCTCTGAGCAAAGGCTCCACAGTACAACACCCGTACCCTCTAGGTCAACACCTCACTTGCCCTGAGAAGCCCTGTTCCAACATGTCAAGTGTATGTAGGTCAACTCAGGCAAATGTGGGGGGAGGGAAGGGCTGAAGAAACTAAGGCACAGAGAGGGAACGACACTCAACTAAAAAGTCACACAGTCAGAATCAGAGCAGCGTCTACACGGACAGAGGAAATCAGATCCCTGCGCTGAATAGTTTGGATTCTTTTATTACTGTCTCTTCCCTAAGGAACTGTGGGACTGGGGGTGTGGCTCGGGTGACCGAGTGCCTGCCTAACATGTCCAAGGCCCTGGGTTCCAGTCCTGACACCACAGCCTAGGCTACGGGGGACCCTTTTTCAACATTTAAATAAATGAGTGACGGAAGACATGAAAGATGTGCACTCTGGGGTGAAGAGCGACATGACAGTGTTAAAGCGTGGTAATCCGCTCTACAAACATCACATACAAATTACACGTAAATGCACTGAAGGGGTTCGACCAAGAGCACTTGCTGCACAGGCGTGAGGACCTGAGTCTGTGTCCCAGCACCCACAGAGGAGTGGGTGTGGTCACCAGTGTGCATCTGTGGTCGTCTCATTCAGCCGCTGCAATAAAACACTTGGCCAAAAGCAACTTAGAGGAGGAACAGGTGGATGGCATCTTGCAGGTTCAGTCTATCATTGAGGGAAGCCAAAGCCAGGACCCTGAAGCAGATACCATGAAAGAACACCATTTACTGGCTCATTTGCAAGGTCATGCTTAGCTACCTTTGCCCTGCCTAGGTAGCAACACCCACAGTGGACCGTGCCCCCCTGAATCAAACATCCATCAAGACAGGCCAGTGTCACCCCTTGGGTGACTCTGAGTTGAGTCAACTTGAAACTGAAGCTCACTAGGACAGCACCTGTACCCCCAGTGCTGGGGATGGGTGGGTGCTGAGACAGGAGGATAGCAGCAGCTTGCTAGCTAGCAACCTAATCCAGGGTCAGTGAGAGATCCCTCAAGGGATAAGGCAGAGAGTGATGCTGCGGCACACCCGGTGTCCTCCTCTGCCACCTGCACGTCCACATATATCACCACACATGCACGCTTAAAATAAATTAGTTAGATAAAAAAATAAACGTGTTAAAAGGAACTAGAGGCCACACTTGGTTGGCAAAGGTGGCATCCTATTTTGAAACCATTACCAGTGTCTCCGGCCATATCTACCCACATGCCACCTGGAGCCAGCCAGGTCTCCCAATATGCCAGGGTTTCTCCCTAGAGATACTTCTGTCTGTCCTGACAGAGGGATCCCCGACACCTGGTATGGATCCCACAAGCCTCCAGGGAGGGCCAATGGTGTGATTGGAGGAACTGCGATCTCCACCCAGGAAAGTCCTGTGTACCTCTACATTGAGAGATACTCATGCACCTGTTCTAGACGATCCTGCTAAGGGAGTTTCAGACTGGAAGTCACTCAAATGCCACTTGGCAGCAAAAAGAGAGTCACCTGCAATCCCAGGACTTGGGAGGTTAAGGCAGGAGGATCACTGTGAGTTCCAAGTCAGTCTGCGCTACAAAGTGAGACCCTGGCTCAAAAAAAGAAAAAAAAATCAACCAACAAACCAGGAGCCTGGATGGGTAGGTGGTGGTGTCCCTGCACACAAAGCAGAAAACACCGAATCTTCAAAATTACACACAGGAAGTGGAAGAGGGAAACACTGGAACGCTCATGCATGGAGTGGAGGACCTAACTTGACTGGCAGAGATATCCCACGTTCGTGGACAGCCAAACTCAACACCAGCAACTTGGTCTGCAGACCCAATGAACTGTCAATCAAAAACCAAGGTTTCACGGAGAGACAAAAGACCCAGAAAGGAAGGACAGTATGAATGTAACGGACGGAGCTTTGACGAGGGAGACGTGGTATCAGTCATTCGAAAGTCAGCACCAGTGAACAGTCCCCAGCCACACACAGGAACCGCCCGGGCCAAGACCTGCAGCCTTCACCCCAGTAACTCAGAATGGATACAGCAGTGTACTGCGCCGTACAGGAGCCGTCTCAGCTTCCTAGACAGGAACAGGAAGTTACCTGGACGACCAGGGATGCAGTGGTGATGATCCAGACCCAACACAAAGACATGGTCAATAGAAGAAATGGTTGCCAAACTTGACTTCATTAAATTAAGAAGTTCGAGGGCTGAAGAGCTGGCTCCTCAGGATGTTCTTGCAGAAGGCCCAAGTTTGGTTCCCAGTACCCACATTGGGCAGCTGTAACTCTAGTTCCAGGAGATCTGACGCCCTCTCCTGGGCTCCATAGCCACAGCACTCATGTGCAAATACTCACATAGACACATAAATGAAAGTAAATCGAATTTTGAAAACAAATAATGAAAACTACAATTTTCTGCTCTACAAAGGCCATGCCAAAAGAAGAGACCTGGAGAAAACAACTGTAAGAATCCATCTGATAAAAAGAGGTGGAGCTTCACAGAAGGAGAGGGTGAGGGGGCAGTGCAGGCCTTATGGGTTACGGCTTGACCCCAGGTGTATGTGAGAAGCTATCTCAAGTTCTCACGTAGTCTACCGAGGCCTCATCTTCCTGCCCAGTGCTGGACTGTCCCCTCCATGACAGACTATATCCCCCAAGCTGTGACCCAGAATTCCTTCATCCCTTAAAGCAGTTCTGTCACAAAGACAAGAAAAGTTATGGTCACTAGACCTGACAGCTCTAGCTATAAATGGGGACACTGAGGCTTAGGGAGGTGACGGGATTGACTCTGTAAGAATAGCAGAGTCAGGATTTGAACCCAGATCAAGTCGAACTCCAGAGCCATGTTCAAAACCCCAAGATTTCTCTTCCCACCCACAGGGAAGCATGGGGACAGAGCCAGCACCTACCTCCTTGGGGCTCTGCCTAGAGGTACCAGACCCACAAGACCACACAGATCACCAGGGGCGGGTGTGTGTGTGTGTGTGTGAGGGTGGAGCAGGTAGGCAACAAAGCCACAGTCTCGGGGTCCTTGCTGGTGCCCATGGCTAATGCCAGCAGCTCCGCCAGTCTCCTCCTTTCATCTCTGGAAAGAACGGATGTGTCTTCAGGCCCCCTGATATCCAGAGGTTGGGCAGAAGGCTTTCTCAGGGAAAAAAAAAAAAGAAGAAGAAGAAGCAGCAGCTCACAGGGCAGGCATCTTCAGTCACAAAGGTGACATCTGACACTTCTCACCATGGAGCTCGCTGACAAGCACCTTCAAAGGACAGCAGTGGCCCAGCTTGCTGGCTTTTGTCCCCCTGTCACTCATACACAGAAATGATTTTTCCTGCACACTGCAAGTTATTTTGGTTTGAAGCAGCCAAACCCAGCGTAAACCCAAGAGAGAGAGAAAAGAGCTGAGGAGGAAAGAGCCATTCCGGCAGAATCAGACACAGGGCGTGTGGGCAAAAGCAGCACGAGAAACGACCTTGATCGTGAGGTCACACAGGGAGAATGGACTGAGTGGCCAAAGATGAGAGGACTCAGAGAGACACTAGGCATGGGTGTCTTCAGGCCACCTTGTCTCTGGGGGCCAGGAGAGCTGCGATACGGTGTGATCCCCCCAACTTTGTCCCCTGTCAACACCTCTAAACAGTACAGCACACCAGGACAGACAGCAGCCGTGTATTTTTCCTTCTCACCACTGTAGAAATTCTGATCAGGCAACACAGAATGGCTAAGAGTTTCTAGAATCCTCCATGAGAGATTGGGGCAGGGAGGGGAGCTATGTTTCTGGCTACAGATGATATTGATTTAACTTGAAAAAGCTTTAATA